AACTTCTTTTTTTTTTGCATTTGAGAATTGGGAAAGTGAGCACAAATGTTAACTAATGGTCATGCCTTGTACTGTACTTTAAAAGGTCTCAAGCTGGAAGGAAATACTAATAAAGCACTTAAATTTTGCATTCAATTATGAAAGAAGTCTTAAAAACACTTCAGGACGTGGAATGAACCATCTGTGTACCCATCTGCACAGAAGATGATAGGGGGCCGGGCCTCACACTGTATCCTAGGAGGAAGGCCAATGCATCAGACATAAAAGAAAAAAGGGAAAACCACGAAAGTGCCAGGTAAAAGCATTCTTCTGATGGTTATCCTCTTTTGACAAGATATTTACCAGGTAGAGTCAAGGAACTGTTACAACTCTGAATCTGCTTCAAAGCCAGAAGTAAAGTAATCAGCTTGTGCCAGACAATGGAAGGAATGTCCAGGAGTAATGATTAGCCAGGCCTCCCTTGCATGAGCCAAATGGTCCTCTTGAATCAACAGTTTCATTTATATTTCAAAAATACAAAACTGGCAGGGTGCTGGTGGTTCATGTCTGTAATCCTAGTTACTCAGAAGGCTGAGAAATGAGGATGGAGGTTTGAAGTCAGCCCAGGTAAGTCCATGAGACTCTTATCTCCAATTAACTACCAGAAAATCTGAAGTGGTGCTGTGGCTCAAAGTAGCAGAGCACTAGCCTTGAGCAAAAAAGGTCAGGGGTAGTGCTTGGACACTGAGTTCAAGCCCTATAACCAACAACAACGATGAACTGTCATGTATATGTATATGTACAGACACAGATACATATATGTATATATATTATATATGTATATATGTATGTATATGTGTAAGTATACACATAGATGTGTAAGTATACACATATATATACATATATATAATATCTATACACAATATATACATATATGTAATATACATTCCTGAGGAATATTTTGAGGATGAAGCGTTGAGTCCCAGATATCTGAAACAATCACTCTCCCTGAGATGACATTGGAGACAACATAAAACTACCGAAAATCTGTGCATGTCCAGAAAAAGTAGGTCCTCGACTCTTGAGACCACAAATGCATGTACACCCAAAAGGAAATGGTAGGGAGAGTCAGGGCACAAAAGAAAGATGCAACTGATCTCGCATTGGATGGAGAGAAGCCAGCAAAGAAGGGAAAAGAGAAAAGTGGCTCTCCTGCCACCAAAGAATGAGGAGGTGTTCCCATGAAAGTACATCCTCTTCTTCATTCCCTTTCCTGGGCCTGGCCTCCCTCTGACCCTTCTGAGCCTCCCCGCTCTTTCTGGGCCTTGGCCCTGTGGCTTGTGGAGTTCTCAGTCTTTTGAACACCAATCTTGAAAAGCTTGCATAGAATAAAATTCAATATATAGAACCACGGCACAGACAAAGCTTGCACTAAATAAAGATATAACCTATGGAACTATAACACAAACTTAAAGAATAAAATTGCTTTTTTTTTTTTTTGTCGGTCATGGGCTTGAACTCTGGGCTTGGGTGCTGTCCCTGTGCTCTTCAGCTCAAGGCGAGCGCTCTGTCTCTTGAGCCATAGCAACACTTCCAGTTTTCTAGTGGTTTATTGGAGATAAGAATCTCAAGGACATTCCTGCTTGGGCCTGCTTTGAACTGCAATCCTCAGACCTCAGCCTCCTGAGTAGCTAGGATTATAGGCGTGAGCCACCAGCGTCTGGCTGAAATTGCTTTTGAGGTATGATTTTAGTGAGTTTCGAAAAGGCTTGATTTTTTCCTAAATCTGGGTGACAGCTAAGGTGGTACTTTTCAAGCTTCTGGTAAAAAAAAAAAAATCATACATCTTTCATTATCACTGAATCTATGAATCAATCACTCAATGATACAACTCAGTGTGAAACAAGTACTAAAAATATAACATTTTGCAGTAATGTTTTTTTTCTCTTTTTACTTGTAGCTAAATGATGATCCAATGGTTGACTAGTTTCAGTATGTGAAGGTTAATAGTAAATTAAGATTCAATAATACAAAGTAAATCTCTACCCTGCTAGTCTTGAGCAAAAGAAGCTCAGGGACAATGCCAAGGCCCTGAGTTCAAATCCCAGGACTGGCAAAAACAAAAACAAAAAAAAATAAAGTAAATCTCTACCCATGAACAGACAACAAAATGCCTACAAAAACTTGCAAATTAGGGGCAAAAAAAATAAAGAGAAAAACATCCTTAGCTAGACATATAAATGCAGGAATATAGCATGTGTTGTCAAAGCTGGAAATATGGGCTTTATCCATTTTGTTATTGCTTTACTTTTTGAGATTGCAAAGGGAAAAAGTAATTCTTTGATGCCATCTTTAACCAGATCTAAATATAAGTATTCTATAGATTGGCATCTGACTGTCATACTTTTATGATGTATTTTAAGTCTGTATCTTCATCTTTAGTAAAGAGACATACAAGTTTTGGAAAATGGCCAGATGTTAAAACAAAGAAAAGTTCAACCTCTAAATTACCAACACTCGAGAATTCTAACAATATCCTATTATTTAAAAAAAATACTGTTAGCTAGGCTCCAGTGGGTCAGGAGGCTGAGATTTGGGCATCAGAGTGTGAAGCCAGCCAAGGCAGGAAAGTCTGTGAGACTCTTATCTTTAATTAACCACCAAAAAGCCACAAATGGAGTTGTGGGTCAGAAGGTGGAATGTTAGCCTTGGGCACCCAGGGACAGCCCCCAGGCTCTGAGTTCAAGCCGTAGGACTACAAAAAAATAAAAATAAAAGATTACTACTCTTAAATTATTGACATAAATGTAACATTTCTATATTCTATATTTATTAGTGTGAGCTATTGCTTTACCTGACAGATGATATTTGGATATACAAAGTCTATTCAAAATGTGGTTTTCATTTTCAGAGGTTTTCCTGAAGAACTTTTCCATCCCTCATTTTTTTATCCTTTCCAATTCAGAGATCTTTTTTTTTTATTCTGGTGGCAAGAAAGTAGACATTCCACTTGAAATAGCTATATTCCAATGGCAGATAGACAAACACACATACACACATACATGGGACATGGAGAATATTGTCGATAGGAGACCAATCTGAGAAACAACTCATCAGCGATTTTGTCATTTTGTATACATCCTGGAGTATATAATTTCACATACAACTATGGCTCCACCATCATCAGTGAATTTAATCTATAGGTGCTCTTCTGTATATGTGTTCTGTTGCAAACCAAAATATCACTCTACAACATGTGGCTTCATATTTGCATTTTTGCCTTCATAATCCTTTCTTTATTCCAAGGATTTTAGAATCCTTTAAATCAACATAAAGATGGCTGCAAATAGTTTCGTGATGTATCTCATTACCATCTTTAGTTCTGAGTTGTACAATGGAATAACCCTACATAGACATACTATTTTCCTCCATTGAGGTCTGTCCCTGTTTTATTTCCAAATTCAAAAGAATATTGCTATAAGTCCTTCATCTCCTTTTGAACTGCATTCTAGTTGTTTCAAGTGCTTTTTAAATTCATGTAGCTAGACAAGCTACTGATAAATATGAAAAATATTTACTTGTGGGTTAAGAGGGAAGCCCAGTGGTAGAGGACTTGCCTAACATGTGCAAGGCTCTAGGTTCAATCCCCTGTGCTACATCACACACCAAACAAACGCACACACAAACACACACCTGGGTGTGTGCTGAGTGCTCTAGCGCCAGGAATTCATAAGGGAAATGACGTGGTTATAGAACAAAGCTCAACAGCATCCAAGAATTAATTGTCAAGGATATGGCCATACATTTGTTTACAAAAACAAGGTACAATAGATACAAATATCAGGGGGAAAATCCTTATAGGCCTATGTCATTCAGATTCCAATTTATGTGTAATGGGGGGGGGGGTCTATGCCACATCAGAATGATAAGATATATAAATGCAAAAACGAAGCTTGTATTTTCAAAGATTGCCAAATAGCCAAGACTTTTTGTTTGTCAGTTGGTGGGACCTTAAACATCTAGATTGTAATAGATCCAGTGTTTCCAAGTAATTCAATCTCCATTACCCAAGGCACCTAGACTGTCACAAGTTTGGATCATGGTAGTGCCAGCTCCTTATTCAAATGACCACATGTTTATGTGTTGATATGTGTAAACACACTTAAAGTTATCTAAGGCCAGATCATTACTCAACTTCTAACATCCCAATGATGCCTTCAGAAACACAAACAGAAGACTCTATATTTGTTTGGTTACATAAAGGAAAACATCCCTATGTTATACATAAATCCTATATCAATTCTAGTGAAGGGGACCGATGAGAAAAACTATGTAAATCTATGATACATTTGATCAGAATAAGCTTCCGGATATCGGATAATGGATATGTTGGGAGCTCGGAAGAATGTCACTTACATAATAACTAGATTTCTTCTCTAAGAATGACAGAAATACCACTTCTGAGAGAATCAATGAAAGGGCCAACTCATCATTTCAATCCCTGGACTTTTCTACTACCCCATTGGGTTTCCTTTTGTCCTAAAATATGTATAAATTGGGTTGGATAAATAATTGGCAGCCAGTAAATAAACTTTGCTATTATTCCTTTCATTCAAAAAATATTTAAAAAGAAAAATTTTTCAAAAAAATAAGTATTGGTAAATAGAAATGTTTTTAACAAGGATCTTCAGTATTAAAAACCTACATAGATCACTAACCACCTTTGATATGGCTATATAGGAGGCATAAAACCTGTATCATCTAGTGTCCCTCCAAATCTTTTCAGCAAATGAGTTCCAAAGAAGTTATGTCAAGTCTGGATTTGGAAAAGTATTCTTTTCCTTAAATACCAAGAAAAATAAAATTTCCTTAAATTCCAAGAAAAATAAAATCTGGTTGTCACCTTAGTACAAATTAAATAGTCAAGCATGATTTCATCTTCCTCCGATATTTCTCCCAAGACATGAAAGCCAGTTCTTGAAAAGCTATTGACTCCTACAAGTGGAACTTGGTTTCCTTACCTGGCACTCTTTTTGCCCAGTTGATCATGTGAACCAGCTCCCTGTCCGCCAGGTTGGTCAACAAGCCCATCATGGAAGCTTCACTGAAGGGTCTAGAAGGATCGTACTCAGAATAGATGATGGGGGGCTCAGCCTCCAACAAGGCACTGACCATCTGATCGGCTGTCAGGGACAAGGCTGGGCTGTTCTTCTTCGTGTGCTTAATCACCAGGGGGCTGGGCCACAGGTTGGCAGCTCTCATGTCTCCCGAGGGCCCCACTTCATTCCTGCCCTCCACGTCATCTCTCTGGCGCTTGTGTTTCAACATTCTCCCTCCTCTTCTGTCTTTCCGAATGCCTGAAAATGCAGGGGGGACAACTCATTAGTCAATTTTCAGATTCCTGTGCCCTTTCATACAAAAACTACCTTCAGAGCTAACACTGGTCCTGGGGTTTGAATTCAGGGCCTGGGCACTGGTCTTGAGAGTTTTTTTTAATGCTCCAGGCCAGTGCTCTACCACTTGAGATACTGCTCTACTTGTGGTGTTTTGCTAGTTAACTGGAGATGAGAGTCTCATGGACTTTTCTGACCAGGCTGGCTTCAAACCTTGAAGATCTCAGACTTGTAAGTAGCTAGGATTAAATGCATGAGCCACTGATCTACAAATTCAATGCAATACCTATCAATATTCCAACCTCATTCTTCAAAGAAATAGAAGAGGCAATCCAAAAATTCATATGGAACAATAAAAGACCCCGAATAGCAAAAAGGATCCTCAACAGAAAGAACAGTGCTGGAGGAATATCAATACCAAATTTCAAACTCTACTACAAAGCCATAGTAATCAAAACAGCTTGGTACTGGCACAAGAACAGACCTCAGGACCAATGGAATAGAATTGAAAACCCAGAAATGAACCCATACACCTATAGCCATCTAATCTTCAATAAGGGAGCTAAAAAAAAATAGAATGGAAGAAAGACAGCCTCTTCAGTAAATGGTGCTAGCAAAATTGGTTAATCACCTATAAAAAAACTAAAGCTAGATCCTTATATATCACCGTGCACAAGAATCAACTCCAAATGGATCAAAGACCTCGGAGTCAAAGCAGACACTCTGAAAACATTACAGGATGGAATAGGAGAAACCCTAGGTCTCCTTGGCACAGGCCGAAATTTTCTTAATAGAGACCCAGAAACACAACAAATCAAAGAAAGGTTGGACAAATGGGATTACATGAAATTGCAGAGCTTCTGCATGGCAAAGGACATAGCTAGCAAGAGCATTAGAAAGCCCACGAATTTGGAGAAGATCTTCATTAGCCATACAACGGACAAGGGTCTCATATCTAAAATATACCTGAAACTCAAAAAATTAAATCCCCCAACAACAAATCTTCAAAGAAACAACTGCCCAATAAATAAGTGGGCTAAAGACTTAAAGAGAAACTTCTCTGAAGAGGAAAGAAGGATGGCCAATAGACACACGAAGAAATGCTCAACCTCTCTAGCCATAAAAGAAATGCAAATCAAAACAACATTAAGATACCACCTCACCCCAGTTAGAATGGCTATAATCAAGAACTCTAATAACAACAGATGCTGGACAGAAGGGAACCTTACTGCATTGTTGGTGGGTATGTGGACAGAAGGGAACCTTACTGCATTGTTGGTGGGAGTGTAAACTTGTTCAACCACTTTGGAAAGCAGTATGGAGGTTCCTCAAAAGACTCCACATAGAGCTCCCATATGACCCAGCAATCCCACTTTTGGGCATTTACCCAAATGATCACAAACAAGACCACACTAAAGCTACCAGCACAACTATGTTTATTGCAGCATTATTTACCATAGCTAAGATATGGAACCAACCCAGATGCCCCTCAGTAGATGAATGGATCAAGAAAATGTGGTATATATAAACAATGGAATTCTATGCCTCCATTAGAAAGAATGACATTGCCCCATTTGTTAGGAAATTGAAAGACTTGGAAAAAATTATATTAAGTAAAGTAAGCCAGGCCCAAAGAAACATAGGTCCCATGGTTTCCCTTATTTGCAATAACTAGTATATGTCTGAGTCAAGCAGAAAAGGTCAGATAAGTTGGTGTTAGGGAAATGAACCCTAAGATATGTATTCAAATGTTTTGTCTCTCATGGGATTGTTTCTAACACATTTATAAGATTATTTCTTTGTTGCTTTGTATGTCCCTCCCCCACGGTATAACCCCTACTTTCACTGTATTTGATGTTGTTATAATTTGTGGAGGGGAAGGGAAAAAACAAATCATTTAAATAGGGATACAGGTGGACCCATTGCAACAATGAGATGTACAAGTTGTTATATTGAAAACGAACTTTACAACTTTGGTGGTGGGGGGAGGATGAGAAAGGATGTGAAGGGTAAACAAAGGAGGAGGCTGCAATGCTTGATAAGAAATGTACTCATTATCTTGCCCATGTAATTGTAACCCCTCTGTACAGTATTTTCACAATAAAAAAATAAAAAATAAAAAAAAATGTATGAGCCACTGGTGCCCAGCTAACACCTATTATTGAAAAAATAAATAAATATTGGTAGAAACTAATTCAATAACTGGGTTCTCTGCAAGAAAAAGGGATTGATTTGTAGTATTTGTCAATTTTCATTGTGAAAATGCTGTCAACAAATTTCAAGTCTCTTGTCTGACATGCCTGTACCATGTGTGTGTATGCGTGTGCATGTGTATATATGTAACATATGATATAAAAATATAATAACTAGTGATTCTTGAAATATGGTCTAAGATTGCTTCCAATATTCTTTATATTTCCATGCATATTCATTTAATAGCACACTAGTATTTTTAATAATGAAGGGATAAGCAAGATGATGGACTAAGACCTGCCACTGACAGAGTCTCAAGTGTACACTGATGTGAACAACTATTCACACAAGAGAATACTTTCACAAAAGCAAAAGAAACCAGGAGAGATCACAGAACCTGATTTTGGCCTAATAGATTTTTCAAAGAATGCAAGAAGGGAAAGTTGCCCACATTACCTGTGCTTCCCCTCAGAGAGAAACAGCGTGAAGATACCTTTTGCTTGAGCAAAAGACAGGAGAACAAGTACAGGCCCTACATTTGAACCTTAGTACCAGATACATTACAGAGAAATCTAGCTGTGGGCAGAATATCACAGTCCTACCATCAGCCCATTGCCAACATAAAAAGCCTGTAGACCTACCCGTGCACAAAATGAAAACCTAAGGCCCCAATAGCATAGAAGTATATTTCAAGCTGCATCACCTCCAACCAGCTGCAGTGGTCTTAGAGGGTGAAGACAAGCCATCTCATGCTTCAGTCCTGCCTGTGCTATGCAGCTCAGTGGAGTGTGGCATACTGGCATGAATTAGCTCTGAGGCAACTGGGGACTACCAAGCCATTCCTCAGACAGTACAACACAGAGAGAGCTGCTGTCCATTGAGGGAGGAAGAGGATGGCAGATCTTCCAGACTGGGGACATGCTACCTGACCACTGGCTTTGGATGCGGCAATGAGGCTTACACTAGTTTCATAAGGAGGCTTGAGAAGAAGACCACCCTTGTTAGGGATGTCCCCATCCATCCTTAAGCAACACTATGATATGTTTATGACAAGAGTTTGGGACAGCCTTCAGTGACAAACAGTGGCTACACACCAACTAAAGACTGATGGAATGGCTAGACTTGGGGAATAGCAATGACTATAGGCCAGGAGCAAAACAATAAAAGTAAACAGCCTGCTTAGAGTATTTGAAGATACACAGAGGAGAAACAAGGAAAAGAATGAATACATAGAACAGTAATGGGGCTATGGGACAGCATTGAAAGAACACTCAGGAATAGGTTCCATGATGACTTCATATGGACTTCTTCGTCAGATGATGAAATTTTCCTTCTTGTAGGAAATTAGAAGTCCTAGTATCAGCTAAAGCAATTATTTGAACCACCATACCCACTGGAGTTTTTAAAACAATGCAATTCAGGTTGTTGAGTTGCGTTGACCCCAGGGCTCAGAGGAGGACAAATAAAATCCAGTGGGAAAGATCAGAAGAGTTTATTGGATGAAAAACTGTTAGCCAAACATGGGAAAGGGGATTCCATGAATACTAACAAATAAGCACTCTTCCCAACTTTCCCCAAATGTACTATTTTTCAAATGTCAAAATCCCTATGAAATGTACAAAATTATACATATTATGAGGTCATTTGCCTGTGACAGTAGTCCAGGTTATGGAAGAAGAGAAGGAAGAAATTCCTATTCTACTTATAAATAGTAATTTTCCGCAATAATGGTGATATATACATATATAATCCTTTGTTTTATGTAGTTTGAAAAAATCTAATGAATGAAATGGAAGGTTAAAAGTTTATTCAGCTTTTATTTCTGTTGTTTATTTCTGTTGTCTTCCCCAAGGACCAGAGAACAGCAAAGGTCAGATCCTGACTCCAGGCTGTGTCTGGTGGGGAATTCAGATCACTCATAGTTAAACCAAGTGGATAGTCAGAGTGGCATGGGTAACTGAGATCCAAAGATAAAACAGAAATCTCACTCTTGGCTGGCTCCCAAGACATTTTCCAGAATTATCTGCAGAATTCCCCCCTACTTTTCCCCATCTCTTTTTTTTGGGGGGGGGGGGGGTCGGTCATGAAGCTTGAACTCTGGGCTTGGCACTGTCCCTGTGCTCTTCAGCTCAAAGCAAGCGCTCTACTGCTTGAGCCACAGCGCCACTTCCAGTTTTCTGGTGGTTTACTGGAGATAAGAGTTTCACGGACTTTCCTGCCCAGGCTGGCTTTGAACCATGATCCTCAGATCTCAGCCTCCTGAGTAGCTAGGATTACAGGCGTGAGCCACTGGTGCCCAGCTTCCCCATCTCTTTTTAAAATGTTTTTAATTTAAAATTTTCTTCTTTAAATAGTTGTACAAAGGAGTTTCAATTCAGTATGTAGGTTCTTGAGTACAATGCATTTTCATCAGGGAATAAGATTAAGTTGTCATTTTATAAAGCATAAGCATAGATAATGCAAATACTAAACAAGGAGGTTTTTAAGAATCAAAAAGTTTATTTGTAAGGAAATACTTGCTGGCTGCCAGTGCTGTACATGCTCCATGTGCTGGGTTGTCGTAGAGCACATTACCCATCATCTTCAGAATAATTAAGCAGTGTATTCAACAGTACCATGAAGGCAGTACGCATTGGGCCGGACAGTTCCTGCTTGCTATTACCCCTCTCTAGCTGCATCACTGGTTAGAAAACACTTCAGGAAAGCAAATCTCTCCTTCTTTTAGCATTTTAAGATTAGCAAATTTAGATCCATGGGTTTTACATAGGGGA